GCGAAACCTCATCTCTACTGAAAATACAAAAATTAGCTGGGAGTGGTGGCATAGGCCTGTAGTCCCAGCCACTTGGGAGGGTGAGGCAGGAGAAATGCTTAAACCTGGTAAGTGGAGGTTGCAGTGAGCAGAGATCTTGCCACTTCAGTCCAGCCTGGGTGACAGAGTGAGACTCTGTCTCAAACATAAATAAATAAATAAATAAATAATAAATAAATAAATAAATAAAGGGCAGAAAGAAAAAAAACGGTCAACCTAGAATACACCAAAATATCTCTTTACAAAGTAAAACAAGGTCGGGCATGGTGGCTCACACCTGTAATCCCAGCATTTTGGAAGGCTGAGGAGGGTGGATCACTTGAGGCCAGGAGTTGGAGACCAGCCTGGCAAACATGGTGAAACCCCATCTCTACTAAAATATGATAATTAGCCAGGCATGGTGGTGCACACCTGTGATCCCAGTTACTCGGGAGGTTGAGGCAGGAAAATCGCTTAAATTTGGGAGGCAATGGATGCAGTGAGCCAAGATTGCTCCACTGCACTCAAGCCTGGGCAACAGAGTGAGATCCTGTCTCAATAAATGAAATGAAATGAAATGAAATGAAATAAAATAAAAATATAAAACAAAATAAAATAAAGACATTTTCAAATAAAAAGTAAGATAATTTGTTGGCAATTGACTTAAACTACAAGCAATGCTAAAAGAAATTACTTGGTCTAAAGGGAAATCATATCAGATAAAAACCAGACCATCCATTTATATTTCATATATCCTTATATATTCATGTAATATAGATGAATAGATAGATAGATATAGAGAGAGGGAGAGAGCACAAGAGAATGAAAGAGAGAGAGATAGACTGACCGATAGACTTCTGGAATCTGCAAGAACTGGCAGAAAAATATTATAGAAAATAAGGTCCCATTTATAAGGGCAAGAAAAAAAAACACGAATTAGCCTAGCGTGGTGGCTCAAGCCTGTAATCCCAGCACTTTGGGAGGCCGAGACGGGCGGATCACGAGGTCAGGATATGAGACCATCCTGGCTAACACGGTGAAACCCCGTCTCTACTAAAAAATACAAAAAACTAGCCGGGCGAGGTGGCGGGCGCCTGTAGTCCCAGCTACTCGGGAGGCTGAGGCAGGAGAATGGCGTAAACCCGGGAGGCGGAGCTTGCAGTGAGCCGAGATCCGGCCACTGCACTCCAGCCTGGGTGAGAGAGCGAGACTCCGTCTCAAAAAAAAAGAAAAACAAAACAAAACACGAAGTAATTTACAGAATCCTCCTGAGAGTGGTATAAAGTCATTACAAATTCAATTTCGGTATTGGCAGGGGTTCCCCTACCCTGGAACACTGAGTTTCAGATATGATTGGCTCAAATTCTCATTCCCAGGCCGTGAATTTTTGTTCTATTCTCTGCGTGATTGTGTGTATTCCTTTATCTCAGCTTGACACAAGCTGGGTTATAACCCATGCTTTCTGTTCCCTTCTCCCTTCAGAAATTAACCTTGAATGAAAACACTGTACCAAGTAGCAGAAATTTTACTCATGATTTCAAATAACTGAAAATTAATTGTAGAACATTCTTGTTCTAAAAAGTCTCTTGTTCATCCCACCAAGGTTTTCTCACTGGCCACGTCACCAATGTGCCACGCATCCATCCACCATCACACAAGCTTCTCTTTTGGCCTTACCATCTTTCTGATTATTTTTTCTCTTCTGTTCTCATTTAAGAGATAAAGCAAACTTTTCTGATGTTCTCATACAAGCAACTTAGCCTCCCTTCTCATTGCTTTGGCTCCTGTGAACAGTTTCATCTTCCTCTCATAGTGGCTTCAGTGTGTAACTCCAGAGGATTTGTTTACATTGTAGTCCATGTAAATGGTGCACCAAGAGTTGTGCAGTGCACAGACTGAACAACACTGTGTGGAGGCCCTACCTCTACCTTATTAAGGTATTTTTCTAATCAAAGACTGTTTTGGTGCTAGCTATTATGTGAATAATCTCTCACTTATATTACATAAAAGATCTACAAAAACTTTTTGGGATATTGGAAAAGATTGAATGAGTGAAAAGTTGTAAAGCTATGCTGTACATTTGGACAGGAAGTCGAATATTATGAAGATGTCTGTTCTTTCCTAATTACTCCTGGATGTCATAAATTCTAATTAAGATATAAACAGGTTTTTCTATTTCTTTGGTTTATGACAACAATTTTATAATATATTTGAAAAAATGAATAGGAGAGATAGCAAAAATAAATCTTAAAAAAAGAGAACAAATATTTAACCCTATATGAGCACTAACACATCTGTTTGTTAGCTATATAGTTAGCTAATGAACCTGCTTCCTCTCTCTCTCTACCATCTATATATCTACCTACCTGCCTATCTATCTACTTTTTATCTATTTTTGTGGACACCTGAAGCATCTTTTTTTCTTTCCCTTCCTTCAGGAGAAGGGCATCATTGCCCCCACCATACATCCCATGTGGTTTTTGTGGAGCTGCCGATCATAAGACTTCACTCCCTGCCCTAAGAGTGGACATGCTATATAGGCTGCCCACTCCAAAGTAAACCATCCTTTTGATCATAACGATTGGTCCAGGGATAAGTACATAACAAGTCACTCTGAAAATTTTCCCTGGAAATCTTCAAAATGAACCTGAGAATATATACTCTCTTTTGGAGAAAATGACCGGGATGATATAAGCCCAAGCTGCTGGCAGATAGGTTTTCTATCAGTGGGGAAAGTCCATCTGTTATAGGAGAGAATGAAGTCAAGCAGAAGTAAGCAAAAATGAAAGGGTGAGAGAGAAAATCCTGGAGATATTGAATCCCAGCTTGAATTTCTGAAGCCCTAGAATCTTTTGGGTCTTTAAAGTTCTTTTCCCAATTCTTGAAGCTTCCCTAATACACTTTTAGTAATATAAACGTAGATCTATAGATATGGATATAACTAAAGGGAAAATTCTGTCTCCCTTCTGCTTTCCTCCTCCTATTACCAAAAGCAAGAAAGGAAGAGATACCATTCTGATTGACCAAGATCCCAGACAATGTTTTAGGATTCTGATTTACTATTGGATGGTTTCACTCTTATCTAATGGTAGTGATTATGGTGGTCATGATAATAGTGGTGATAAGAGTACTGGTAGTTGTTATAGTGGCAACAGCAGCAGCTCTGCTCCTGAGTGTGCCAGAAGGTGCTTAAATATCCTGAAATTTCTTTAGATATTAAAGTTTCTGGGCTTGAAGTGGGGCTCATGGCTCAGGAAAGAAGATGGTATAGAATTGGTAGGGAATAATATATTCTGAGCAGGCAAATGGCATGAGTTATTTTATGCAAACTCTCCAAAATTCTCCTCAACCAGGAATAATGGAATTCCCTCTCTTTGGAGGAAATCTAGATGCACCCCATCTTGACTTTGAGCTATGTGACTTCTACAGTTATGTATTTCTTTGGGTTATCCTACGTTAGCCAAGTATATAAGGTCCCCCAAGTGTACCGTACACTGAGACAGCTCAAGATTCCCATTCTTATTCTCCCTGGCATGGTTTTCTGCTATTCCCTCTGATTCATGTCACCTGAATATTTTATCCTCCCCCTTCATTTAGGGAGTTTGTGCAAGTCTCTAAGGAGTCTTTCTTCTGTCACTCATCTATTGATCCATCCATTTAACCAAATCTGTATTTATGAGAACCTACTATGTGACAATCACTGTGATAACTGTATCCCAGGAGCTTTTAGCTTGGTAGGAAGACTGACATGGGAACAAACAACTGCTATACCCAGTTATTTGCAGGGCCTTGATATGGTTGGTCCAGAGATCCCTCCTCAGTATCTCAGCATTTCCAGCATCTTCTTTCCTGTGTTCTGTATCCAATACCCTTTTAGGTATGCAGCAGAGGACACTTAGTTTATTCTTCTAGTCATAGGCAAAATCTAGCAAGTAAAAGACATAAAAATATTTTACCTCCGAATACATTTCTTGACTGGGCATGGTGGCTGACACCTGTAATCCCAGCACTTTGGGAGGCTGAGGCAGGTGGATCACTTGAGATCAGGAGTTCGAAACCAGCCTGACCAGCATGGGCAAACCAAGTCTGGAAAAAATATTTTTGTGAAAATACAAAGATTAGCTGGTGTCATGGTGCATGCCTATAATTCCAGCTACTTGGGAGCATAAGGCAGGAAAATCACTTGAACCCAGGATGTAGCAGCTGCAGTGAGCCTAGATCATGCCACTGCACTCCAACCTGGGTGACAGAGTGAGACTCCGTCTCAAAAAAATATATATATATACACACACACACTCTCTCTCTCTCATATATTATATATACACTTATATATATTATATATATACATATATATAATATATATAACATATATAAATAATATTCTGTACCAATTATGGCTTTTTTTTTTTTGAGGGTTGGAGGGACTGGTTCTTTATTTCAAAAAGACACTTGTCAATATTCAGTATCAAAACAGTTGCACTATTGATTTCTCTTTCTCCCAATTGGCCCCAAGGAGACCACATCAAAGTAGAGTAACATTTTAAGCCAATAAGCTGCAGGATGTACACCTAAACAGACCTCCTAGAAAGCGTGCCAGAAAATGGGGACTGGGTAGGGAAAGAAATTATAAAAGATCAACAAACTGCCAACCCACAGACTGCTGAGGCTGTCACAGCCGGATGGGGTGGCCAGGGTGCCACAAACCCAAAGAAGCAAAGTTTCAAGATAATATAAAATTTAAAAAGTTTTGTACATAAGCTATTCAAGATTTCTCCAGCACTGACATCAGAGATGGCACTTTTAGAGACAGCAACTTCAAACCCAGAAAAGGGTAATGAGATGAGTTTCACATGGCTAAATCAGTGGCAAAAACACAATCTTCTTTCTTTCTTTCTTTCTTTCTTTCTTTCTTTCTTTCTTTCTTTCTTTCTTTCTTTCTTTCTTTCTTTCTTTCTTTCTTTCTTTCTTTCTTTTTCTCTCTCTTTCTTTCAAGGAGGCAGGAAAGCAATTAAGTGGTCACCTCAACATAAGGGGGCATGATCCATTCTGTTAAGCAGTTGGGAGGGGGTAGAGATGGGACAAAATTTTGGTCTCAGAGGTCTTACCATCTTAATTTGGTCACTTCTAATGAAAAAAAATAAAAATAGAAATAACATTATCCAAAGATATCTTAAAGCTGAGAACTTGAACAGCACAGTTTTTGTTTTTGTTGTTTGGCCAACTCCTCCTGGAATCACCTTTCTGGTTTAGCTAGTACTTTGTACAGAGCAATGAGGTTTCCCATAGTGGAGTCTCCCTGGGCTCTGTTTGGCTCTCAGTGAGGCAGGCCTATACCTTTTCCTCTCCTCTATGGAGAGGGGAATATGCACTAAGGTGAAAAGTCACCTTCCAAAAGTGAGAAAGGGATTCGATTGCTGCTTCAGGGCTGTGGAATTATTTTGAATGTTTTACAAATGTTTGCTACAAAGCAACAAAAAGGTAATTACAAAATGTGTAAATCACAACATGCGTTTTAAACACATTATGCATTGTGCTCACATTCCCTTAAATGTTGTTTCTGAAGGTGCTCAGCCTCTAGCCCAGCTGGAATGTCCGGAAAAAAGGCAGAGACAATTTGGCGAAAAAGACACAGGGAAGGAGGGGGCGGCGAAAGGAGAAAGCAGCCTTCCAGTTAAAGATCAGCCCTCAGTTAAAGGTCAGCTTCCGGCAAGCTGGCCTCAGGCGGAGTCTGGGTCAGAGGGAGGAGCAGCAGCAGGGTGGGACTGGGGCATTCAACATCTCATTCAGGTCAAGCAGAGTCTGGTCCAGCATCCTTTGTGTCCAGCATCCAAAGGTGCTCCTCTTTGGTGCATTTCAATTTATCTTCCAAGTCATCAATTGTCTTTTCCAGCTTGGCTACCGATCTCTCAGCAAACTCAGCACGGGTCTCTGCCTCCTTGAGTTTATCAGTAAGAATCTTGATCTCTTCCTCATATTTGTCTTCTTTTTGAGAGTACTTTTCTTCAACAGCACTCAGACACTTCAGGTTCTGGTCCATCAGTCTAATCTGCTCATCCATCTCTCGGCAACGGGACTCTGCCAGCTCAGCTTGTTCCTCTGTGCGTTCCAAGTCTCCTTCAATGATCACCAACTTACGAGCCACCTCTTCATACTTCCTATCTGCCTCTTCTGCAATGTGCTTAGCTTCTTTGAGTTGGATTTCCTGGAGTTTCATCTTTTCTTCATCTTTTAAGGCCCGTGTATGAAATAACCTTCATACATCTCTCACTCTCATCAACAGCTTTTTCCACTTCTTCCAGTTTTTGTAGGGCTGTGGCCAGGCGCTCCTGAGCACAGTCCAGCTCCTCTTCAACCAGCTGGATCCTATGGTTCAAGGAGGCCACCTCAGCCTCAGGCTGTTCCCGGGCCCGCCTTTCTCCTTCAACTTCTCGTTGGAGGCGCTCAGCTCGCTCCTCTGCATCATCTGCCTGCTGCTGCAGAACCTGGATCTTGAGCTTCACTGCCTCGATGGTGGTGATCCCAGCCATGGTGCCCACCCAGCTTCTGCTGGCGCTCCGGTTCCTGCCTCCTCTGCTCGGCGTTGCAGCCTCCTCTCACCCTTACTTCCCCCGATTATGGCTTGGTACCATCTTCTTTCCTGAGTCATGAGCTCCACTTCAACCTCAGAAGACTTTAATACCTAAAGAAACTTCAGGATGTCTAAGCATCTTCTGGCACATATATATATACACATATATATATGTATATATATACACACACACACATATATTTTGACATATTTTGAGATGGCTGTTCAGAGGGCCAACAAACAGAAGTAGTTAAGCTGTCTTCTGCAGGGCAGATTTGCATCTGTAGAGAATCTGCATTGATGCAGCCGGGCCTTCCTTTGTTCAGATCTAGGAAAGATTAATGGAGAGTCTGACATCTTTAAAAGTTTGGAAGAAATATTTAGCATCATTTACGCTCTCTGAGGGCTGTTACCTGTGAGGTTTCATCTACGTAGCAAGACCACCTTTGCTGGCCAACCCTCCTCTTCTCTCCCTCCCATGACCTGTCTAGCCACCATAACCTGGTTTGTCACCATAGCCTGTTTTTGGTCATGCTCTGAGCCCCCCATTCTTTCTGTAACCTCAAGATGATATATAAGCTTCTGCACCCCATTGAGGATTGGGAATAATCACTCTGTGTTTCTCCACCATGTGTATGTTAATACATTTGTATGCCTTTTCTCCAATTAATCTGCCTTTTGTGAGTCAAGTTTTAGTGAAATTTCAGGAGGGTAAAGGGGAAATTTTTCCTTAGCCCCTGTACAACTTATACACCCCTTATTTCCCTGCTTCCAGTGCAGGGGAAGTATGGCTGCCCCCACTATAACACGTAATGTTTTCCTCTGTAGACACAGCATACATAGTATCAAGACCCCTGTCCATTACTCCAAATAACCCAGCTTTCTGTAGGGCAGAGACAGGAAGTGAGGGAAATTCCATAGCCCTGGCCCTGCAAAATAGCTTCTACTGTCCTTTCAAAGATGGCAATAGGAGAATATATGGACTTGGAGACAAGGTATAGAAGCAGCTTCTCTGTTGGCTTTTAAAAATATATTTCTGGCTGGGTTCGGTGGCTCACGCCTGTAATCCCAGTACTGTGAGAGGCCAAGGCAGGTTGATCGCTTCAGCTCAGGAGTTCGAGACCAGCCTGGACAACATGGCAAAACTCCGTCTCTACTAAAAGTACAAAAAAAAGAAAAAAAATAGCTGGGCATGGTGCCGCATGCCTGTAGTCCCAGCTACTGGGGAGGCTGAGGTGGGAGGACTGCTTGAGCCCAGTAGGAGAGAGAGGTTTCAGTGAGCCGAGATTGTGCTACTAGTTGTACTTCCCCTGCACTGGAAGCAGGGAAATAAGGGGTGTATAAGTTGTACAGGGGCCAAGGAAAAACTTTCCCTTTACCCTCCTGAAATTTCACTAAAATCTGCCTGGGTGACAGAGTGAGTTCTTGTCTCAAGAAAAAAAAAAAAATACACACACACACACACACACACACACACACATATAATCACATACAATAAACTTTATCTCATAATATAAAACTGAGTTTAGTAGTTCATTTACATTACTACTTGCATTATCTATATAGATTAAAAAGTTACCAACCTTTACATTTCACTCTTTTTTTTGAGACAGGATCTCATTCTATCACCCAGGGGGGAGTGCAGCGGTATGATCTTGGCTCACTACAGCCTCAACTTCCTGGGCTGAAGCAATCCTTCCACCTCAACCTCTCGAGTAGCTGGGACTACAGGCATGCGCCTCCACACCCAACTAATTTACTTTTGTTTTTTTTTTTTGAGACGGGGTCTTGATCTGTCGCCCAGGCTGGAGTGCAGTGGCGTGATCTTGGCTCACTGCAAGCTCTGTCTCCCCGGTTCAGGTCATTCTCCTGCCTCAGCCTCCCAAGTAGCTGGAACTATAGGCGCCCACCACCACGCCTGGCTAATTTTTTGTATTTTTAGTAGAGACGGGGTTTCACCACGTTAGCCAGGATGGTCTTGATCACCTGACCTCGTGATCCACCCGCCTTGGCCTCCCAAAGTGCTGGGATTACAGGCGTGAGCCACCGCGCCCGGCCCTAAAATTTTTTGTAGAGACAAGGTCTCCCTATGTAGCCCAGCTACCCTTGAACTCCTGGGCTCAAGCTAACCTCCCGCCTCAGCCTCCTAAAGTTCTGGGATTACAGGCATGAGCCACCATGCCTGGCCTAAATTTCACTTTTCTAGACTTTTATCTGTGCTACTTTTGTACCTCAATTCATTGTCATCTTAAAATACCACCCAGAGTGAATGTAAAGTTTAATTATCAGTTAATTTTACAGTAGAGTTTAATTGTATTTTAGATTGTTTTACAGATTATGTAGTAATGCAAAATTGTGACTGAATTAAAAATATTTTATTATAAAAGTAGTGTATGTTTGTATAAACAGAAATAGTTGAGAAAAAAAGAAATTGTCCTGATTTTTTTTCTTCTCATTTAAATTCCAATGGCAGGAGTCACAACAATTTCGTATGTATCATTACAGCTGTTTCCGCATGTACAATATTTCCCCACAAATGAACTTATGGTACACACACACAATCTTATAACTAGCATTCTCTACTTAACAATCTATCAATGCCATGTAGATATTTCACAGTATGATACACTGTAATATATTTCATTGTCTCTGGACTACAATTAAAATGATTTTAGGTTTTCACTATTACAAATCCTGCGACAATAAATAACTTTGTAATATATGTTTTTACATGCTTATGTGATATATCTGTACGGTAAATTTCTAGAAGTGGAATTGCTGGGTCAAAGAGCAGATGTATTTGAAATTTGGATAAATACTATGAAAATGCCATCCAAAAAGCTTGTGCCAACCTGTGCTCTTACCAGCAGCATGTGTCGGAGAGTGTCTGTTTTTAATCTTTGCCAATCTGGCAGTAAAACATGGCATAACATTGTTATTTTAATATGGATTTATTTAATAAAAAATGTGATCTAGCACCTTATCAGATATTTATTAACCATTTTTTTTTCTGAACTGTATTCTTTTTGTGGCTGGATTTTTTTGTACTGCAGGTAATTTCCAAGAAAGAATATATGTAATTTTGAATTTGACATTACAATGCCTGTATTTTTTTTTTTTTTTTGAGATGGAGTTTTGCTGTGTCACCAGGCTGTAGTGCAGTGCCACGATCTCGGCTCACTGCAACCTCTGCCTCCCAGGTTCAAGTGATTCTCCTGCCTCAGCCTCCCGAGTAGCTGGGATTACAGGAGCATGCCACCACGCCTGGCTAAGTTTTGTATTTTTAGCAGAGATGGGGTTTCACCATGTTAGTCAGGCTGGTCTCGAACTCCTGACCTCATGATCCGCTCGTCTTGACCTCCCAAAGTACTGGGATTATAAGTGTGAGCCACCACACCTGGCCTTTTTTTTTTTTTTTTTTTTTTTTGAGACGGAGTCTCGCTCTGTCGCCCAGGCTGGAGTACAGTGGACGGATCTCAGCTCACTGCAAGCTCTGCCTCCCGGGTTTACACCATTCTCCTGCCTCAGCCTCCCGAGTAGCTGGGACTACAGGCGGCTGCCACCTCGCCTAGCTAGTTTTTTGTATTTTTTAGTAGAGACGGGGTTTCACCGTGTTAGCCAGGATGGTCTCGATCTCCTGACCTCATGATCCACCCATCTCGGCCTCCCAAAGTGCTGGGATTACAGGCTTAAGCCACCGTGCCCAGCCACCTGGCCTTTTTTTTTTGAGACAGAGTCTGGCTCTGTTGCTGAGGCTGGAGTGCAGTGGTGCGATCTCGGCTCACTGCAACCTCTGTCTCCCGGGTTCAAGCGATTCTCCTGCTTCAGCCTCCCGAGTAGTGGGATTACAGGCCCCTGCCACCATGCCCAGCTAATTTTTGTATTTTTAGTGGAGATGGGGTTCCACCATGTTGGCCAGGATGGTCTCAGACTCCTGACCTCAAGTGATCCACCCACCCCAGCCTCCCAAAGTGCTGGGATTACAGGTGTGAGCCACTGCACTCAGCTAATGCCTGAAATTTTTAAAGACAGCAGTTAAATTTAGAACTAGATTGTTGCCAAGTTCAAAATATAATGAAATAGTGATTTTTGATATGAGAAAAGATATTCAGTTCATCTGGGTCCCCATAGAGCCTCCCCTTTTCCACAATGCAAAGTGGCCGTCTGCTTGCATCTGCATTTTCACTCTTAAAACCCAGAATTAGAGTTTCAGAGATTGGCATCCTCTTTAAACTCACATTATCTTTCTTTTGTTAATTTATTTTATTTTATTTTTCCATAAGTTATTAGGGTACAGGTGGTATTTGGTTACATGAGTAAGTTCTTTAGTGGTGATTTGTGAGATTATGGGGTACCCATCACCCAAGCAGTATACATTGCACCATATTTGAGTCTTTTATCTCTAGTCTCCCTCCCACTCTTCCCCCCAAGGCCCCAAAGTTCATTGTATCATTCTTATGCCTTTGCATCCTCATAGCTTATATCCCCCACATATCAGTGAGAACTTATAGTGTTTGGTTTTCCATTCCTGAGTTACATCACTTAGAATAATAGTCTCCAATCTCATCTAGGTCACTGCAAATGCTGTTAATTCATTCCTTTTTATGGCTGCATAGTATTCCATTGCATATATATACCACAGTTTCTTTCTGTTTTTTTTTTTGTTTGTTTGTTTGTTTGTTTTGAGACTGAATCTCGCACTGTTGTCTGGGCTGGAGTGCAGTGTGCAGTGGTGAGATCTCAGCTCACGGCAACCTCCACCTCCCAGGTTCAAGAGATTCTCCTGCCTCAGCCTCCCAAGTGGCTGGGATTACAGGTGCCCACCACCACCGCGCCAGCTAATTTTTTTCTTTTTTTTTTTTTGTATTTTTAGTGGAGACAGGATTTCACCATGTTGACCAGGCTGGTCTTGAACTCCTGACCTCGTGATCCACCCACCTCAGTCTCCCAAAGTGCTGGAATTATAGGTGTGAACCACCACACCTGGCCATACCTGTCTTTGCCCATTCAGTATGATATTGGCTGTGGGTTTGTCA